GAGCGGCCCACTTGGGGGCCGTTCTTGGTTCCCAGGGCGTGTAAAAGTTAGGTCCACACTACCGCCATCCTGAGTCTGCCCCGCTGTGGAGCAAAGGCTTGCAGTGCTCTGAGAGTTGACCGGTATGTGGCACAGAGACTCGGTGAGCATGTGCTGCCGAGCAGACGGCGCTGAGACTTGCTTCGTGAGCCAGGCGGCACAGAGCTTCAAGTTCAAAACAAAGCTGCAGGAACTGTGGAGCACAAAAGGTGAAGGGCAGTCAAGCTGTAAAAACCCACTCCCTTCACCGCCACCCCCGCTATGTCCAGTCAAACTTGACCCCCGGCAGCCCCAGAGGGAGCGTGTCTGAGACTCTCCATCGTCACACAGCAGACCTCCTCCTCCTCCTGCCGCAGAGCGGCTGGTGGCTTTGAATTGCGGCCCCAGGGGGAGCAGCCCACCCTGCTCGAGTGACTGTCGGCCTGGCGCGCAGCCGCTCCACCGGAGGACTTTGTGAGGTTGCCTTTACGATAGAGCAGCCTCTCTTCTGAGTAGCTCATTCCATGTCGGGGCACAATAGCACTTTGAATGAAAGGCTAAGCTGGCAGGGCCAACACACGAGCCCTTGTTAGAGGGAAGCTAACCCAGGCCAAGAAGGGTGTTTCCAGGCCTGGAAATCATTTGCATCTAGGGTCTTGACCCTGCCCAAATGCCTCCCTGTTTCTATCTGCTTCCAGTAATAGGTGAGCTGTGACCAAGGGCGGCGGCGGCAGGTAGACGATGGCCCAGGTGCTGTGATGGCAGAACCCCCTGCCATCAAGTGTGTTCTAACTCAGGGGACCTTAGAACACAGCTAACTAGCCCTTAGAGCAGTGCTTCTCAACCTTCCTGGTGCCGCAACCCTTTCATACAGTTCCTCATGTGGCGGTGACCCCCAACCATAAAATTATTTTCGTTGCTACTTCATCACTGTCATTTTGCTACTGTAATGAATCGGGCGACCCCTGTGAAAGGGTCTTTTGACCCCCAAAGGGGTCGAAACAGGTTGAAAACCACTGCCTTACAACTTAAAGCAAGCCCATGGGAACTGAAGTCTAGTGGAAAAGAGGTGTGAGCCTTCTGAACCCCAAGCATCATAGATCAGGGAAAGGAAAAAGAGAGAGAAAGAATCACTTATCAATTATAAAATTAAGCATGTCGTGAATTCCAGGTGAGTGGTTGGGAGATGAGTAGGGTGGGGCCTGGGAAGTCTGAGTCTGCGGATTCCCCAGAGGACGTGCACTTAGAAATAGGTGTCCCAGACCCCACTCACAAGACCCAGTTGAACCAGCAAACACCTGCTCCCACCTGCTGGGATCCCTGTAGGGCAGCCATCATTGGCAGATGCTCTGGGTCCCTCTGCCAGTGGTCTAGTAACTGCAGGTGTTACTTTATGGCATTTCCAATTTTTTAAGCCCTGCCTTATTTTAAAAAGGATGGTGGCGCTGACCCCCTTCGTGGGTGGTGTTGACTGTCAGAGCCATTGTCCTGACCCAGGCGCAGGTCAGCCTCTGGAGGCTGGGGAAAGGGAGGGAAGTCGAGAAAGACCAGGAGTGAGCTGCGTAGTTCCTGGGCTTCTGTGATAGGCCGGGATCAGAAGTTGAAGGGAGCCGGCTCGCTGAGGCCACACTGGGACTTCCATCCTGGCCCCCACTGACTGGCTGTGTGGCTGAGCATGCCTCAGTATTCTGATCCGAGGTCCCTCCCTCTTGCCTTTATTCTTTTTTTTTTTTAAGGAAGAGCTAAGTCAGTGGTTCCCACAGGATCTGCCAGCTTCCCTGTGGGGATGCGGGAACAGGCTGCTTATTTATAGTGCAGCCGACTCCTGCCTTGCCCTCAGACCTGGAGGCCCACACCGAGGGAGGGGCCTGAGCATTAGTGTCTGTAACAAGCAGCTCCTAGCTGATTGCGACACAGCCTATGGGAGTGATGCTTAGAGACCCCTCCGCTCTCTGGGTGTCCATCCGGCCGCTGTGTCACAGATCCAAGAAGCAGCTCCCCATTTGGATGCGGTGCTTGTGTGCTCTGTTCCAGGCCCAGCTGACGGGGTGCTTCTATAGGGCGAAGCTCCAAGGTGGGTCACATGGCATGGAAAGGGGTCAGTGGCATTTGTAAATCAGTGTTGATGAGGGTGGGGTGCACTAGAAGGCATGGGTGCAGAGGCAGGAAGAGAAGGGGTGTGCGTGCTGTCAGCCCCAGCTGTGTGGTGACCCGGAGAGGTAGAGCAGACTTGCATCTAAAGAATGTTTTCTCTGAGGCGGAAACGCCTCTCGGCGTGGGTACAAAGTCCTCCAGGTTTGCACCCATCGCTGAAGGAGAGCCGAGTGGCTGCCGAAATGTTTCAAAAATATTGACATTCTCAGTGAGCCACAGCATGTGTAACCAGAATATTTGCCTTCATCATTTCTCAGAAGGAAGGGGGGGGGGAATCAAAAGACAAATAGTAGGAGCGCCTGATTTAGACACTCTATCGAGTGTTGTGTTTTATAGGGGGGGGGGGCTTGTTTTCCCTCTGTTTATAAAAAGATTATCATTTTACCAGAAATTTTAAGAAACGTGATGAAATGTGACTCCCAAATCATATTTGCTATCCTTATGTTAAGTCCTTTCCGTTTTACAAGGAGAGAGAGCCCGCGCTAATGTTGGAAAGCTACGTGTAAATGTGTTCGTCTATGGCTTCCGCCCTCCTCAGAAACACGGACAGAGGTGCTACCTGCCTCGCAGGCCGCGCCAGCTGTGCAGACCCCGGTGACGGGGGACCTGGAGACCCTCCTCAGATGCATTTCCTTTTGACACTTCCTCCCATGTCCTTCCCCACGCCAGCAGTGCCTACATAGTTACTTTTCCCCCGTAATTCCTTTTTGTCACGATGAAAGTGTACTTGAATGTTGACTCTACAGAGTCTCTCCCCGCTGTTGGGGATGCCCTAATCTCCTGCGTTCCCCTAGATAAAACAGGCAGTGAAAAAGTTAACAAATCAAGCCGTGCTCCGAGCTGAAGGTGCTCACGGTCCTTTGATTGGCGGACATAAGTACACAATCTCCGCCTCTCCCTCCCTCACTTCCTGCGCATTTCCAAACTGCGCGCCTTCGCTTCATGGGCCACGAAAGCTGCTTTTGTTTAGATTAAGCTGGTGCCCCTCACTTGATGTACTAGGCGTGTACTGAGCCCGTATTGCAGGGAACTGTGCTTCCTTAGGAAGCTTACTTAAAGTTTCGTCGGAAAGACAGGAGTGTGTGTAACGAAGGGGCATACATCCCTGAGGATGTACCACAATGTTTAGGAAACTCCCAAGTGTCCGTCTGTAAAGCTCCAGTGCCCCTTGGTAAACATACATGCAAAATGGATGAGGATGAGGAAATGGTAACTGATTAGTAAATTCCGTCTCTCCATGTCCGTGAATGTTTAGATGGCCCCCAACCCAGTGTATATACTGGGCTGTCCCACCTGGCATTCATTCACTGCCTCCCTGGGAAGGGGTCCTCTTATTTCAGAGGGAGATATCGTATCGTAAAACGGTATCTGTACTGGCTTTCTCCTTCAGAGTCTGATACCTGTAGCACCCTTGACTTGTAAGACATTACATTGGGCTTATGTCAGAAACACTTGGGAAATTTCTCTTGGCTCTGTTCCTGGGGGACCCATTATTCTAACCGAGCTCCTGGGGCAGACAAATGGGGGAGCTCTAGTGAACTTTTTTGTGTGTCTGGAGTGGGGGGGGGGGCTGTTTTTAGAGCCATGGGTCACCGTATTTTAGTTCTTTTATGAGGCGTCTTTGAGAGCGTGGCCGGGAGAAAGGCGTTGGAGACGGCTCAGCCCCTGCCGTTGCCCAAGTGGCTGAGCCCCGGTAAGTCTTGTGGTCTCTGCCCCCACCCCAGGCCACCGTGAGTGGGGGGACTGTAACAAAGCGCCCCTCTCACAGGTTAAGTCAGTGTGGAAACCTCAAAGGGGCCGAGGGGGAGAGCATTGGCTAATTAGCATGGTCCATCTGCCCAGTGAGAATTAGGGGGGGGATGTGCACCCCATGCATCCGTGAGTGAGTGTCCACAACGCCAAGGCTGACAGGGCTTGCAGAGCAAGCAGGGCACGAGTTCAGCCCAAGGCCCGGCTTCCTGTCCGAAGTCAGCACTGTGGTCTCAGCCACTTCCTAAGGGCGCCTCCCGCCCTTTCTCCCGAGCTCTGAACCGCCTTTCACCCTCTGCCTAGGCGGAAGCCGACGTCGCGTCTCTGAACAGACGCATCCAGCTGGTGGAGGAGGAGCTGGACCGCGCCCAGGAGCGCCTGGCGACGGCTCTGCAGAAGCTTGAGGAGGCCGAGAAGGCCGCCGATGAGAGTGAGAGGTGAGGAGGCAGCATCAGCACATCTGGTGGCCGCAGCCTTTCTCCTGGTGGGTCAGGCGGCCTTCTCTGACCTGCGGGTCTTAGACGCGCACAGTCCGGTAGCCCTGGTGGTTTTGCCTGCTTGTCATGACAGGCACCTCTACTGTGTGCAAAGCTCTGCTCTAAGCCCCAGGGTGACACAGAAGAAAATGACCCTGTTCCTACCCTCAAAGAACTCTGAAGTAACATTGAAAATGAAAAATATATATCTCAAATATATTCATGGGTTTTGAATAAGTTTTAAATTATTGTGAGCTACAGGATTGGCTCTAACGTCACAAGTGTGCTGACCCCTGGTCTAGTGCTTCATCTAAAATTAAGTGATTTACTTATCTTACTGCCCGCTTACATTTTGGTTAAAAAAACAAACCATTTTAACGTGACTCGGTAGTGCACACATATACCTCACAGGTCAAACAGCAATTGCTAAGACATCCGACCCACGTAGGAAGGCTGCCGTTCACACATTAGCTTAGATGCCGCTGTCAGGCCTGTCTCCAGCTTCTGTGTTAAAAAAGAGTTCCCGTGAAGGCAAAGCTCATAGTTTCTTGTCTGCAGCATTAGGTTGAACCCTACGAAATTGCCATCTTTACAGATCTGAACAGGTCGAATGCCCGCTGCTTCCTAGAGCTAGCTAACGGGTTGGGCTGCAGGACAAGAGGCATGCAAAGGAGATTTGCCTTGGTTCTAACCCGTGTCCAGCTGACGCTCGCCACCAGGAAAGGGTGGAACTCCCAGGGTGCTCACTTAGCTGAGCAGAGCAGGTTGGCTTCCTATGTTACTGAACACTGGGTACCCGGACAGTTTCACCACCCCCCAAGCAGATTCCGTTCACAGCGAACAGAGAGATGGGTATGTGTTTCCCACCCTTAGCTCTGGAAAGGCTCGCTCCGAGGAGGTTTGGGAAAGCGGAGTAGCTCTGTGCCCTGGTCTGGTCTGCCGGAGCCCACAGGTGCCACGTGCGTGTGTTCGGGGAGTGTGGTCAGCTCTGAATCTTGGGCGTTTCCTGCTTGTCCTTTCCAGGGGCATGAAAGTCATTGAGAGCCGAGCCCAAAAGGATGAGGAAAAAATGGAAATTCAGGAGATCCAACTTAAAGAGGCCAAGCACATCGCTGAAGATGCCGACCGCAAGTATGAAGAGGTCCGTGCCTGGGGCCCAGCACCTGGTGGCCACCCCAGCAGTGGCCTGGGGGCAGCCAGAGAGCAGGGGCCCGCCTCCCATAGTCGTGAGAAGCCGTCTGCTTCCATGACAGGAATGAGTGGTTTTGAGAACCGGAGCTCCCCTTCCTCCGGGAAATGGTTTTGATGTGATCCTCCTGCGGGAGATCTCACGGTGATCATGAAGCTAACGTGTAGCACTGGGAAAGACCAAAGCTGGGTTTTTCCCAAAGAAGGCAGGGCAAGAAGCCTGTGCCAGGAGAAGGGAGACTGAGGCTCTGGCTGAGGTGCAGAGGGTGGGTGACTCAGCAGTTGCTGGGTAGATTCCAGGAGGCGCTCCTCCATGTGTCCCCCTCGCCTTCAGGGGCTCGAGAATCCTGTTAGCACCGATTGACGGGCAAGTGAGCTCCTGGCCCTGTCGCCGCCCAACAGCCTCCTCTGGGATCAGAGCCGATGTAAATGTGGCTTTCCCATCATGCGCCCTGTTATCCCACCATCATTACCTCCAGGTTACGACAGGCCCACTTACTTTGAACTGCCTCAGGGGTCCCTTCTTTTCCTGGGGGTCCCCCACCCCAGAACACAAGCCCCCTGGTTCGTCATCAGCTCCTCTCCTGCTCGTTCTGCCTTCTGCTCTGTCATCGTCTGAGCCTCCTGCCCACACTAAGGGGGCTTGGTGAGCCGAGCGCAGAATCGATGGGGTTTATCTGCGGGTGATGCTCCGGAGCTTCTCGCTGCCCCCACCCTTTCGGCTCCGCGTGTTCCACGTCTGCTCCCACTGCTATTTTGGAGCGTGTGGATTCCACCTCTTCCTGTCCTTCCACACTTGGGTCTGGCTGCTGTATAATTATACAGACGTGACCGGGGTCGGTTGGACTGAAAGTCGAGACTGCCCAGTCATGACTGACCATTCTGGGTCTTTCTGGGAGGAAACGTCTGGTTTCCTTTCTACTGGCAGCTCCTGATGTGGGGCCGGGTTGAAGGGAGCTGCATTGCCCTGGTAGACAAAAACCTAGGGGTTGAAGGGACCTCAGTCCCCCGACCACCACCACCACTCCCAAAGCTTACCAGCCCCATGGCTTTGTGTTTGCCGTGCTGCAGGTGGCCCGTAAGCTGGTCATCATTGAAAGTGACCTGGAACGTGCGGAGGAGCGGGCCGAGCTCTCGGAGGGGTAAGCAGGCTGGGGGGGCTCGAGCAGTGAGTAAACAGCATGACCTTCTGGCAGCTGCACATTCACCTGTTTCAGCTCCGGGCTCCTAATGTGCTCCTGGGACTGGGGCGAGCCGAGAGTCTGCCGGAGGGCTTCTGCGTGGGGTGTCTGTGTGCGAATGCGTGTGTCCCCCGCATGCCTTACCTGCACACTGATTTTGTGAATGGCCTTGTGCATTTCCTGTGTCCACTAACAGCCAAGTTCGACAGCTGGAAGAACAATTAAGAATAATGGATCAGACCTTGAAAGCATTAATGGCAGCAGAGGATAAGGTACTGACAGCTCACGTGTGGTTCCTCAGGTTTAACCGCAACCCAGGCGCCTTCAGCTTCCAGTGTCTGCTGGTCTGTTGGGTGCATCGGCTGCACTCTGCTTACCTCCCTGCTCTCATATCTCTTGCTTAACGCTTTCTGTGGCCCTTCACACTCTTGGTGCTTTGTTTATTCCGTCCTTCAAAGAAGCCAAATGATCACACTTCAGAGTTGCCGGATTCCATCACCCTGCCTTTCTGCTGTTGCAGGGTCGTGGGGGGACAGTGTCCGTCGAAATCGAGCATGTCCGTTGCTGGTGATTTGGCTCCTTTAAGGCAGCCCTTGGTCTCTAGGACTGGATGTTCATTTTTTCCCACCCCTCTCCTTTTTCTCTCCTCCTTCCTCTGGCTTGTCTCCCACCCTCTGTGCCTCTGGTCGAAAACATTAGCAAATGTGCCGAGCTTGAAGAAGAATTGAAAACTGTGACGAACAACTTGAAGTCACTGGAGGCTCAGGCTGAGAAGGTAGGCGAGGAGCATGGCGTGGGGGACAGACACCCAAAGAGGAAAGCTGCCGTCTTTTACACGCGCCTCAGAAGTGACCAGCTGTCCTCTCCTAAGGCCTTGCTGGTGGAGGCAGCAGTCTCGTAGGCATTTTGGCCAATGGCAATGCTTGGAGGCAGCTTGCGCATGGTTGTTAGAAAAGAGGTTCTTTTTTTTTCTTCTTCTTCTTTTTTTCAGTTTCTCAATAATGTATTTTATGTTGCCTGTGTGAGTCATCTGCAACAATTTAATTTAGACCAAGTGCCAAATGGAGACATTATCTTGTCCGTCTCCCGTGTAAAACAATAGGCAAGGAAACAGAATGTGCTCTAGCGAGCCATTTAATATCAGAGGCTCCGTTACCTCCGGAGAGATCTTTAACAGGCGCTGGCTGGGCTGGCACTGCTGTCTGTAGATGAGCAGACGGGCGGGTCGGTGGGCGGCAGCCTGACGTCTGGGGTGCCTCTTCTATTTCCAGTACTCGCAGAAGGAAGACAAGTATGAGGAGGAGATCAAGGTCCTTTCCGACAAGCTGAAGGAGGTAACGTGAAGAGCCCTTTGGGAGATGGCGTCCGCTGAGGCGCAAATGAGTTTGTTGGGTGGAGGTGGGCAGGCCTTTGCTTTTTCAAGTTTCCACAATCCAAGTCAGGAACATCCGCAGGTTGCCCCAGAGTTGAGGGCTTGCACACTAGCTGGTGGCCCTCGCAGACTTCCTTTACAAGCACTAAGCTTGATTTTGGTTCTTGAGTTTTCCTTCTACTTGTAACAAGCAACACACACCACCACCCCCCGCCAAGCCAGTTACTCTGGAGTTGGTTCTGACTCGGGTTGAGCCCACGTGTATCTCCGTAGAGCTGTGTTCCGCAGGGTTTTTAATGGCTGGGTTTTCAGAAGTAGACCACCAGGCCTTTCTTCCAAGGCACGTCTGATTAGACGTGGACTCTCAACCTTTCACTTGGCAGTCACCTCTGCACCACCACCCCAGGAACGACTCCTGTACTGTCAACACAAACTCACCCTCAGGAGTCAGTGTTGCCTCATAGTGACCCTATGGGACAGGCTAGAACTGCCCCTGTGTGTTTCTGAGACTGTGAGTCTTTAACAGGAGTAGAAAGCCTCATCTTGCTCCCAAGGAGCTGGCTGGTGGTTTTGAACTGCCAACCTTGCAGTTACCCACCAAACATGTAACTACTACACCACCAGGGCCCCTCAAAAAAAACCAACACTGTCATCGAGTCCCTGCTGCTTCGTATCGAGCCCTGTGGGTTTCCAAGGCCCAGTCTTTCTCCCACGGAGCTGCTCCTGGTCACACTGCCTGACCTTGCAGAGCCCATGAGTAACCACTACAGCACCAGGGCTCCCTCCAGGTTCCCTGTAACCCTGAAAATCCTAATTCTGACTCCACTCAATTGAATGGTTACAGGCTGAGACTCGGGCTGAGTTCGCCGAGAGGTCGGTCACCAAGCTGGAGAAGAGCATTGATGACTTAGAAGGTGAGCGCTTAGGTTTGATGTGCATCGACCCATCGGGCTGAATACTGACAGGCCTGACGACGTGGACTTTACGTCCCCACATGCCTCCCCCTCGTGGACTGCGTTGCTCTTGCACATTCTTCCTGCCTGTCCTCTGGAGTTTCCTTGCTCTTAGACCTGAGTCTGTGCTCCCTGGTGACTGGTCAGCCACCCCTCTAGCTCTAGCTCTTCTTGCTCCGGGGTGGCCTCACCTTTCTGTGTGAGCAAGGTGGTTGTAGGTGAGAGGGACCCTAATGTCAGGAGTGACATGGACTTGCTTTTAGACACAGCCCAGAGTTCCCCGGGTGTCCATTCAGAGTTACTGATGACCTCAGCCAAATGCTCTCCATCCTGAAAGCAGGCGGCGGGCCCAAGGCCATTGTGTTTTCTAATAGTGCTCATGCACGTGACCCTGAAGGCATGTCAGCTCTGTTGTGAGAGCACCCACTCTCTCCCAGAGACCCTTAGTGTTGAGCTCGGAGGCTTGTGAAGGGTCAGCCGTGAAAAAAAGGAGAGAGAAATAACTAGGAGAGCCACAGCACAGGTGGGAGGGGCTGTAGAAAGGACAGGAGGTTGGGGAAGCTTGATAATGGCCAACAGAGTAAAGAAGGGAGAGTGGCAGACGTTTGTAAGGCCGTCTGCCCAGATGCAGCAAGATCGGGCACTGTCAGCATCCTGTGCCAGAACGGAAGTGCGGACTTGCTGCAGCCAGGCCACAAAAGTGCGGCTCGCCGTGCTTCCCAGGCTCCTGGGCCAGTCCAGGGCGGCTTGGTTGAGAAGACCACGGGGGCTAGTTTCAGTGACACCAGGAAGTCGAATCCCAGTTACTTGTCCATTCAGGACTGTGTCATGGAGGTGGAGCCAAGTAAGGATGACAGGCCACTGTCACAGATTGTTCTTCCAAACTGTCACTGTGCACAGCCGCCCCGTAATGAATGCCGAGCTAAGTGAAAGCAGGGTATCCTACGCACCCTGTCGGGAGACTGCCTGACGTGGTTCCATTCAGGGTTGAGTGGCTTTCTCGTGTGCCTACCATATTTGTCATGATTTTCGTGTTGAGCCTTTCTCCTTTTATTTTCTAATGGGTTTTGTTCTTTTCTGTTTTGTTTTGTTTCCATTTGTTTTAAAAACAAAACGCACGCCTCCTGCATTGGCCACCTGCTGCGGCATCACCTCCTTCCTGCATTGCCCTTTTCTTGCCGCTGTGTTGGGATGGCATCGTGCCACCCTCCCTCACCCTTCATCTCTTGGTCACACTCTCCATGCCCTTGCGTCTCTGCCTCCCACTTCCTGGTCATAGACGAGCTGTATGCTCAGAAACTGAAGTACAAAGCCATCAGCGAGGAGCTGGACCACGCTCTCAACGACATGACTTCCATGTAAATGCTCATGCACCCGCTCGCTCACCCCCGTGCCCTGCTACTAACACATGAGCCTCACCGCTGCTCCTCCTCTGCCCCCATCGCCTCCATCATCTATACTCCTGTCTGTTCCTTCTCTTGCCCAAGCTGGCAGAGCCCCCTAGTGGGGAGGTCACCCTACTCACACAAAGACCAGGCAGGTGACTTCAGTCCAGACGGGTCATTTTCCAGTCAGTCTTTATTTTCCCATCTCTGAGCTGCACTGTGTCTGCCCGGCAGTGGCTTAGAATACAAATGACCTTTACCACGTCCTCTTGTTAGGAAATTGCCCTAGACTCGAATACAATTAGAAGGTTCCCCAACGGGGTCAGGAACTTCCCAAGAAATAGCAACATGGGTTTCCTGAGACTCCGTACCTACAAGATGGTCATTTTCAGAAAGAAAATTAAAGAAGTGCAAATGGCCAGAAACCCTAGGGCATCAGTCTACGGACGATTTGCTCAAACGGCAACCAGAATGACCCGCTTCTGCCTGGTGCTTGGTGCTATACAGAGCATCCGTCCCTCCCTTCCAAGGATTCCAGGGAGAAATGGCCCCTCTCCTGGGTAGCCAAGCTTTTAACGTTTCTGCGTGTGTGTAGTAGGAATAAACGCCCGCTGTCAACACGCACCACAAACCGTGACCGGGAGATGGGCCCTGGAGCAGAGCTGAGGCGTGGGCATTTGCGTGGGGCACGAAGGGTTGGGGTAGGCGGGTTTCCATGCACGCCTGGTTTGGTGCACGTCGTACTAACCAAATGTATGCGTAGAACTTGTCCTGCCGCTATACATTCTTCATCTGGAATGTGCCACGCAGGGCCAGTCCTCCTAACAGATTCACGCTGGCT